GAAATTTGGGCAGGTTGGATGGGGCTCTGAGCAACCTGGTCTAGTGGAAGGTGTCCACTGGCAGGGGGGTTGGAACTAGATGGTCTTCAAGGTCCCTTCCAACCCAAACCATTCTATGATTATGATTTGTTGTTTCCCATATTGGAATTAATTAACTATGTTTTTAAAGTGACTTTTGGTGTACCTACCATCTATGCATATATTCCATTAGCAGGTGATCTTACTTATGACTGGATTTTCCTCTCAGCATTCTCAAACATTGCTTCTCTTTTGCCTTCATTCCTCAGAAGTCTTTCTTTTCCAGCATGCAGCAGGCCTGAAAACCTCCAAAAGAAATATTTGTATTTGAGATGTCTGGCAGAGAGGGCTTAGTCAGAAGAACAATACTTTTGTCAGATACCAATAGTAATTCATTGTCCAGGAACAGGCATATGAAATAGCTGAATGTTTTCATTGCCAGAAAAAACACAATCTGCTGCCCGGCCCAGACTGCGCTCAGCATAGAAAAGAGACAAGTCCTGCAGCAAGGATAAGTTCTTTAAGGAGCCCTACAGTGAACTCAGCCTTCCTGCTATTTCTGAAAGACGTGGCCGTTACAAGAAGAGAGAGGCACCTTATCAACAGTAATAGATTCTTCATTCTTCTACTCTCAGAAAAGGGAGATGTACTTGCAAATATTTAAAAATCCAAAGTTTAAATGGGAGGGAGTGTTAAAGTTACTGAATTCTGATATACAATTTTTAAAACTTGCTTTCAAATAAAGTCAGCTGCTTAGCTTCAGCTATAATAACATATTTTAACTTTAATTTGCTTGCAGGTAAGCAGAGGAGGTGAGGCAACTAACTGTTCCCAGACCCCTGCAGCAGTCAAAGGCTGAGCGTGCGGCAGGGGGTTAGGCTGATTTGAAAAGGGTCTGGAGGGAGGGAGGGTTGTGCAGTTCATTACTGGACAACCACTGCCATCAGGTGTGCAGATGCTCTTTTCGTTCACAGCAGGTGAGGCAGCACATGCAAGAGCATGTGAGCAAGTAGGCGAGAAACAACAGCAATAAAGGGAAAAGAAAGATTAATGCATTAGAAGAACCTCTCTAAGTAAACTCTTCATTTTTATTCATTGAGAGACTTTTAAAAGCTGTTCTCCGTATGTTTTCAGGTATTGAAGAAGGAAGAGAAAAGCCAAAACTGGACTGAACAATAGAGGCAACATGGAGGATTGTTTATGGCTGCATGGAAGATTTCTCACCCCCAACAGAGGTTGGCATGGAGAGGAATCTTTTGGAAAGGAGGAAGTATAATGGGCCCTCTGCTCAGTGCAGGGATATTTTTGGGTTTTATATGGAGGGAAAATGATTTTAGCTAAGAATAACAATAATGTTTCAACTTCCATTTCTATTTCTCCATGCTTGCATGTGACATACACATATAAAATGTGTATTTATCTCCATGGCGTTCTCAATGTGCGTTTCTTGCATCAAATAAGTCATTAAATCATTAAGTCATTAAATCTTTTCACTTCCACCAAGAAGAACGAGTCCATTCTCCATATTGTTTGAGAAAAGCTTAACCAGATAGGTCTAATATGGGGAAACAAAACAATCCTATATATTTCAAAGTACAGTATAAAAATACAGTAGAAGTTAATTGCATGAATGTATCCAAAGAAGAATTCAATCTGACTGAAATATTAATGTAACACTATGTAACAGCTGCCTTAAATCAGTGATGTTAATAATTTTATCAGTCCAGTAAAATCTTACTTGCTGTGTTAGACTATCTGAATATGATGCAACTTTTCTTAAATAAAGAAGGCCTAAATAAAGATCAAATCATCCCTGCGTTTTGTTTATTTATGCTGATTCTTGATATTCTAGATGGATTGATGGCATTTGAATGATACACTTTCAGGTTTTCCAGTGTCAGCTGTAGATGATATTATTTCTACATGAGGATTTTTCTTCTTACTTTCCTAGTACAAGACCTGATGCTGCATTTTCAAGCTGCAAGCTCTCAGTAGATGGGCTGAGCCATTAGTGTTGCACCAGAGAGAGCATTTAAGCCTTGCTTCAGGGAAGGCACATAAGCAAATGTTTAAAGTTAAACATATGCCTGTTTGTATTAGAAATTCAGTTGCAAAATGCTAGCAATCGTTTAAACTTGACAGGATTCTATTTAATTATCAGACAATCAAGAAGGAACTCTAATAGGCAGAAAAATTGTCTAGAATTAAAGTGAATGAAATAATTTTCAGCAAGAAATTATTTATTAAAAGTAACTTTAATATCTAAATGTCTTGGTATTCACATCACATTTATTCATTAGTGTATGTAGATGTATTTATTTTAACACATGCAGAGCACTTCAAAGATGTTAATGTGTGATTTTTATTAAAGGGATTTCTGCAGAGTTTTTATATGACTTAACCATGTTTCTACTCTAGAACAGTTGTGGGGGAAACTGATCTCATGCAACTCATGACGTGCCTCCACAGTATTTTTTAAAATGTATTTATGTACACACTGTCATAGGAAACAGCGCACAAGTTCAACAATGTGCTTTTTGGTTGGTTTCCTTCAAAAATAAGGCTTTTGTGATCATACTGTCTTTGTGACTGTCTGTCTGTCCTCTCAATAATTTCTAACTTGTTAGATCAGTTGCAAAGATTTCAAAGCTAGGCAAGTTGCTAGCAAGTTCATGGAAATAAGTGACCAGATAAAGAAGAAGGAGTTCCTCTGATGGTTCACAGAGGGAAAGGACAGTACACGCAAAACCAGCAGAATTTGGAAGCAAATTAGCTGTAGCCACGTGGCGTTGCATTAGGGATATTACATTCCGCTGGACCTGAGCTGTGCGTTACATATGCACAGTAATACTGCAACATGGTTACTCTATCCACAGATAACTAGGGCTTGATTGTAGTAGATGGAGGATTGTTGTTGTTGGAGGTGGTAAGATCTCTGTTGTTTGCAATAGGCTTTTAAAACTCAGGCAGGAAAGAAAGAAAACATGGATTCAGTCATGTTTAGTGAGCTAGGAACAGTTTAAAGTCACTGCTTCTGGAAGCTGTGGTAGCACATGAAAGTACTGGTGGACAATGAACGTGCTGAGGAATTTGGCTGTACTTTCCTACAGCAGCAGCAGCGGTGACAGACATCGCATTGTGAGACATTATCAGCTGCAGCTTAGGACAGGAAGCCCAAAGCACAAACCCTGTTGACTTGTTTGTCGCTTGAAGAACTTGCATAATCCATGCTCTGCTGTTAAGTCTTAGCACATCTGTGCAATTTTTTTATTTTGTGGGGATTGTTTGCTCCACTGAATTCAAGCATTCATTCTGATGGAAAGAATGTGTTAAATAAAAAGGAATGCCAAAATGCCACACAGCTGTACACATTCTGCTAGAGCGCACTCTGAACGTCTCTGCAGCATTTATTGTACCACTGAATGGCTGAGACCTTAACAACGGGCTGTCGATGGAAAGATTCCTCTTTCTCAGTAAGTTTTTGCACCTGCTCAAGGTAAGTTTTTCTTCTAATACCATGTCATTTTAGGTGATACTGGAAATGTAGTAAGAATATAAAGAGAACAGAAAAATCAGAGATCAAAATTGCATAGCTGAATCCATAGGTGGGTGTCCAAGTGAAAGAAGACTCCCTTCCAGAGATACAGTATAGGGACACTTATAATTGTTATCTCTCATACCTATATGACTTTGTGAATATTCAACACCTAAAAAAACCAGACTCCCAAGCTTAGATCTCAGTTAAGCCCCTGAGGCTGGCAATGCTAGCCAAAGGCAATATATGTGACAAAATGTGGTGGGTTTCATTTGGCTTGAGGAAATTTATAGTATTCCAAGAAGGTTTGAACTCAATTTGTCTTCTCAGATCTCAAAAAGTTCTCCACCTTCTGTGAGCTTTGAGTCATCGTATTTAAAGTCAAAAACATTCTAGAGCATTAAATCCAGCCTATGATGTATGAACCATGATATAAATAACTTCGGGGCCTGTGTACCCAGAGAGCACTCTTCTAGACTGTGTTCATTCCCTTTAGAATTACACAATCCATCATTCTTAAGAAAGATGATGGATGAATGATGACTAAAGTAAAAGTCACTTGGAAGCTTGCCAAATTTCAACCATCTTGGCTGATACTGTCCCTGAAAGGTATTTCTCTTGGGGGAACTATTTTTTTGGTGGAAAACTTTTTGTCAGAACAAGTCATCTATTTCCAAGTGCAAGTCTATGAAAAAAAACCCCTAAAAATCATGTCTGGAAAACTTTTCTCTACTTTTCTGTTGCTGTGGAACTGGGTCTTTGGAAGAAGGACAGCATTATGTTAGTAACAGTTCTGAATTATGGGGAAAATCTATTCGTCTTTGTCCAAGTTTTAGAAAAATATGCCTGCACTTCCCTGTAGTGCACAGGTAATTCTCCAAAGTGTTATTGGCTTTGGGAATGACCCGTCCTGTGGCTAAATGGGATTTTCCCTACCATCCCTGATCTGTTGACTTTCTCCAGGCCTGATTACCCAAGACACACACCAGAATGGGGACCCCAACTTTGTTTCCCATGTATTGTCAATACCTCCCCAAAGCTGATGCAAATAAAACTGCCTAGACCAAATAAGGAAGGAACGAAGGAACGAAGGAAGGAAAGCTTTGATGAAAACCTGAGCAATGAGAATAGATTCTAGTTGAATAAGTGGAAAAATCTAGCTTTTCTCTTGAGGACTGCTGTAAAATTAAATTAGTAATGTTTATTGAGTATGTCACAGCTGCAATGATAAACCACATAGAAAACTCTGTGAAGGAATCATTAGTTTTGTTGTCAGAGAAGAATATAGCATGCAGTAAATAAGGCAGGCTGCCACACCTTGAACCACAAGGAAAAAACCAAAATACAGTTTCATCATTCAGTGAGCACCGTCCATCATGTGTATGAATGAGGCATAGGAAAAAATATTGTGTGATCATCTAATTAAAGGCAATATCATAATTCATACTCACAAGGGGCCAAATTAAGGTTGAACAGATGGCCTTAATTCTGACATTACCTCACTCTTGAATGCCTTACTTTGCAATCTTAATAATACTCTCTTGTCTTAGTATAGAACACAAAAAAGGAGGATTTTTTTTTTTTTTTTTTTTTTTTTAAGGCTGGTTAGGAAGTAGCCACAGAGTTGTCATGAATTTCAGCATGAATGTATCCCCTATTGGGCTTTAGAAAGCTCATCCTCACTTTCTGCATGCGTTTAGCTACCCTAAAACATACATGCACAGTTCCCATACCACTCTGTTACAAGGTTGCCATAATTTGCAAACTTTTGCCACAATTTCAAAACTAAATTATTTTAGTCTGTGATATAGCTTGTGTGCAATAAAACCATTGTTTGCTGTCTCTCTATAGCAACCATTGCCTTATTTTAAAGGAAAATGACAAATATTTTCCCTAATTTTAAGTTGATTCTTTGCTTCTCTGCCCACATGAGTGATATTAACTAAATTGCCACCAGTGCACATCAAAGCCACTCGGACACTGTGAGGAGACTGAAAAATGGCTAACCGTTCTGCAGGCTCCCACGTGGCAGTTTGTAATGACAGTGTGTAAGGTATATGCTTCTTCGTTCATTTTTCCTATTGAATTTGCTATTCAAAGACTATTTCAAATCCTGACAACAATTTCTTCCTCGCCTTTTATTTTCTTTAGAGATTGGACAGTCTGCAGGGCTCTGATAGCACTTTAGTAGCCTTTGAAGTCTCGGATACCGTTAGACTGAACACTGGAAGGATTTATAACCTAAAACTTGAAGTGTAGTCCTGAAGAGACCATCAGCCTGAGGTTAGCATCACTGAGGTAGGTTTGGTGTTCCTGCCCTGGGAGTAAAGGAGCAAGCGGTAGGAGATGGGTAGGTTGAGGTTGCCTTTGAGCGCAGCCTTGGAGGAGCTAGGGTACTAACCCTGCCTTTTAATGCTCCCGTGTTTCATGTGAACGGCGGCTAATGTCGGTGACAGGTATTTTCCATCAGCAGCAACAGAAGAAAGCTCCTAATCAAAGCGTATTGCGTACTGGTAGAAGAGGTCATCTCTGCTAGGGTATCCCAGCTGCTCTGCTCTGCTCCTGTGCTTCAAAGCTTCACCTGCTGCTCTAGCCACCCACTTAAACTGGGGTGACAAGTGTCGCAGGGAAGGAAAGAAACCTGAGAGGTTTTTTATATATTTGGGCCATTATGTTTGGCCCAACGTGCTTGTACATGTTGTAAAAGTGCAGATGTCTTCAATGTGTCTGACTGCAGTATGAAACTGGAGTTTAATAAAAATAAAACAGGGCTTGACTGTTGCAGAAGTCCCAGGAAAAAAAGGATTTGCAGGTTTGACGGGTCAACTTTCTACAGTGGCAGTGATCTCCACATTTTGAAGCAAGAGGAGCAAAGGAGAAATGAAATTATCCTGGAAAGTAAAAAGATCTAGCTGTTGACATCTGTTTAGAAAAGTACTTAAGCGGATGCTGAACCCAAAGCACATGCACAGGTGCTTTTCAGCACAGGGGCTTCGCTGAATGGGGGGCAAGTGGACTTGCAGGTGGGATGCTTTCTGTAGTGCTTCTACTGACTTAATGAAACGAAAGAGCTTTTTGTGCTTGAGGTGAAAATAGGTCTTTTGAGCATACTGACTTCCTCTTACTTGTATTATTAAGTAACTCTTATGAAGAACAGAACCATCCCATTTACAGACCATAAACATCAAGTATATTTCATGTATATTCTCCAAAATAAGCAATTTTATTTTTATCAAAAATGCAGTCTGTTTTGTTCAAGTAACAGATGGAAATCAATGG